AGAAGAAGTAGTAGCAGTAGCAGCAGCAGTAGCAGTCGTGGCAGTCGTAGCAGTCGTAGCATGTCTAGTAGTAGTCGTCGCCGTAATCGCAGTAGCAGTCGCAGCGTCAGCAGCAGCAGCAGCAGGAGTAGTAGGAGTAGTAGTAGTAGTAGTAGTAGTAGTAGTAGTGGTCGTCGTCGTCGTCGTCGTGGTAGTAGAATTGGAACTAAGACTAGGACTTTGAGTAGCTACGACTAGGAACCTGACTTGGACTAGAAGTGAGAGTAGAAGTCCTGGTCGCAGCGGTCGTCGTAGCCGTCGTCCAGGCTTAAGACACTCCGCCAACCGATGAACATCAAACCTGTTGCCCACAGTCTTGAACAAGCACCCGTTTCAAGTTGGCACAGAGCAGGTATCGGAAATGCAGCTTCAGTCTGGCACAGGCAGACTCTTTCGCCCTCAAGTGCCAGATGTCTGCACCACATCTTAGATCTAGGGGCTTAGTTTCTTAGTGCTTGCGCTCCAGGGTCAATATCAGGGCTTTCACCCTTGTGGCTCTGCTTGAGCCTCGAAGTGAATTGGCCTCCTTTGGGAATATGTCGACTGCGGCGGTCTAAAGCCTGTTGTGCATGGGGGATCTTGGGTTTCGCTTGTATCCAGTAGTATTCGTAGATGGCACTGCCTACAGTACAGTCCTTGCTTAAGGCTCGGGCTCACCGGTCACATGTCGCAAGTTGTGCTTTGGGAACTGGGCCCTTGTGACCCTTGTGATTTCGAAAATCAGAAGTATCAAAAAAAGGGCAACCGTGCCCTTGGCCAAGGTCGGGGGACAGTGTTCCGGGCATGCGGGCATCGGTGGATGACTCCTTCGCTGCAACTCCCATCACGGAGTCCATGGACTTTCAGGCCGGTTTCGATTCTCCACCGACAATTCTCCTAAGGTCCTAGGTTTGCTAGATGCATATGTGTGTGAACTTGGGAAGTCTTACAAGCAGGTCTGTTCCATACAACCTCTGGCATTTGAGGAAATCAGTGCAGATAGGGCTTGAATGCAGTTGTTATTTCTTATGAATTTTCGTTGGTCTCTGACAAAAAGCCTGTTCAGTGTCTTGCCAGCTGCGGTTTGACATGCAAAGCATTGCTTGGCTAATCCCTTCGAAAGCGTTGTTGCAGTTCGGCTTCCGAGTTCATGATCAAGGAAGGTAAGATGGAGGCTTGAATAATCGATGTCGAGTATGCCCTCATCATCCCTTTTAGAACTCTTGCATTCTATACCCCAAACCCTAGTCTAACTGTGCACTCGTTAGTAAGGCTTATTGGGGTTTCCTGCCCAGGTTTTCGGCTTCGGTGAAAATGAGTTACAAATGTAAGTTCAAAGCCCGGCAATTTGCGGCCTGAAGCTCCATCTTGATCGTTTGAGTCGTGGCAAGCCCCAAGATTAGTGTGCGGTTTCGCTCCACTAGTCGCTAATCAAGTGAATTACCGCGGTGGATCCAGTAGTAGGCCTCAGCTGATCCTCGCTAGACTTTTTAGAAATCATGTCCGGACAGAGTTGTTTGAGTCGTTAGTTGAACCAGTAATCAGAGATGTTTGTACGGCTCGGGTTTTGATAGTTCTTGTTGTCCTGACATTTTCCAGCGGAAGACCCGAAGCCACCTCTGTAAGTAAGATGCCAGAAGTCAGAAGCCACGAAGTTAATGTGTGTTGTTGGAGTTCTTCAATGGCTGAAGCCACCCTAACTTTAGTTGCAACCTAAAACCCTGAATTTTCAAACAGCAGCCTAATCCAAAGCTACGCCTTGTGCAGCTCCCAAGCCTGAAAGTCTAGTCTAAGCTCTCAACGTCGATAAATGACATTTATATCACGCAGCAGGCTCCAGGCAGATGCCAAAATGCGGTATGGCCAGTGCGTGTAGCGCGAAAGATGCGTGAAATTTCCACGAAAGTCGCGTGAAAGTCGAGGTTGCCATATCAAGGCAACGGCCCAGGCAACGGCCCATTGCTATTTCTACGGCTACTACTGGCACATACCACGACTAGCACTAGCATTCACAGTAGCAATAGCACTAGTACCACAGCGGGGAGCATGGACCTTGTGGGCACGTTCCATATATACTTGAATGGCGCGCGAAAGTCAGGGCGAAAGTTACGCTAAACAAAACTATATTTTCGTGAAGAAGCCCAATTCGGTGATATGTTAATTTAGATCAACGCGCATGTATGTACCTCTAAATATATGCATGCATGCATTCATGCATGTATGTATATGTGTATTTATGTATGTAGGTATGTATGTATGTTGATATGTCTGCCTGCCTGTCCGTCTGTCTGCCTGCCTGTCTGCCTGTCTGTCTGTATGTATGTACATCTGTATTTATATATGTATGAATGTGTGTATATCTATGTATGTATGTATATATACATATATATATATACACATACATCTTTGTACATTTATCTTTCTAGGAGATCTCTCAGCACTGCGGAGGGCCAACTAAAGTCATCCGGCCGCTTCAAGCCAAAAGCCCTCAGGCGAGCCAGTTTCGGATGCCGGCAATGGAAGGGCCCACATCTTCGAGAGGAGGATCACAGAGCTGCTAACTATAGATTGTAGCTACAGGCTTGGCTTGACAGGTTAGCGGTTTGTGTTTAGGTCTAACGTCTAGGGGTTCAGGATTTGTTGGTTGAAGTTCCTGGGCCGTGTTAAATGCATGTGATGTCAGCTTTGAGGTTGCGCCTACCCGAACCCCAAGCCCTTACCCGCCTGCCCAATGAATTTGCGAAGCCGACTTGCCTGATCTGACGATGCTTTTTCGCACGGTCGTATATTTCTTAATCAAGGGGTTTTGAACTCTCTCAGAAGCTCGAATAGAAGGGTCGTAGTGATGAAGACAGGGCTTTGGGCCATACACCAGAGGGCCGAACACAGTGGACAAACTGGACCTCAATTGCACAGATGATCACGCCGGAAGAATTGCCTGAAGACACACTGCAGTCGCAGCAACTATTGACGCTTGAAAACATCCATGCTGCAGTGATGGCTCAGTAACACGGCTATCCTGTTATGTGTTTGTAGGTTTCGACGTGCATGCTTCAGAGTTTACGCGTTGGGGTGCGAGGCGAACGGCTTCTGATGCACGTAGTCGGTCACGTAGTTTCAAGAATGACAGAAATAACAGCAATAATGATACTAGGAATGATAAGAATGCCAGTGTATGCTACTAACTAGTGGAACCAACATGACACTGTACCATTGAGCATACTCATTACTTCACCTTAATCATAACAATAACAACAACTACAAAAACAGCAACAACTGCATCAATAGCAATAAGAGTATGATCATGATAGCAAAACAACGATAACAACAATAGTGATCGTAACAGTAGCAACAGCGGTCCCCGGAACACACGGCTGCATCCCACAACTTTTTGACTCCGGTAATTACCTATAGTCTCCATTGTAGTTCCTTTTTAGGGTTGACCAATTTTATGGTTAGGATCCTATAACATATAAATTTGGTTAAACCAAAAAAGGAACTACAATGGAGACTACAGGTACAGATCAGGTCGAAGCATCCGAGCCTTTCTTGGGTTCGGGGTTTTGGGGGTTTGGCCTCGATGCAGTATTGCTGGCAGGCTCCTCTCTTATCACTTAGGACGCGAACTTGTATAATAATTATAGCCATCCCTGAACTGTCTAGATTCGCACTCCTAGCTGCAGGAAACTCGGAATTTAAAACCAGCACTAAACTTCACATACTGCCACGCCAGCGTGGGTAAATAGTTTGCGCTGGCAAGTGACAGTGTGGCCACAAGCCTTACTCATTAACCGCGTCATGCTCTGCGACATGCGGCCTTTAACCAACCTTAGTACCGACTGCTTTAGTTAAGATGCACCTGATGATGTTGAAAGAGCTCGCAGGACACCATGTTGCAATCAGCCGCCACAGCAGCCAAGCACTCAGCTGCAGCTGCTATCCACCTGCCTTACGTTTGATGTCCGATCCCCGCGAAGGGGTAGCGGCAGTGAGCCAGGCGCTGGCTGCATGTGTTTTGGGTGGAATCTTGCAGCGGAGTTGAACTCCTGCGATCATCTGCAGCAAAGGCCGACGTTGTACATCGAGTTTCCGGAAGGTTTTGCCGGTGTAGTCTTGAAGTTGAGCTGCCATCGCCTGCATGCATTGACAGCGAGCAGTCCTGAATGTGTCACTCCTTCTCGTCTGCCTGGCATTCCAATCAGGATCACGCCAGGGGACCGTGACTCTCGAACAGCCCTTGCTCGCCTTTCCCTCCAAATACAAACTGTATATCAGTGCTGTACGAGCATGGGGCAGGTTCCGATCCCGACCCCTGTTGATATGCTGACAAGATCAGCTTGAGGCGATGGCAAGGCTTCCGCTCGGCTGAGTCCGGGTGAGGTCAGCGAGTTGCCCGAGTTGTGCCTCGGTTCACTTAGGGTTTACCTTAAACTACCAAAACGTACTTTTTTGTAGGGAATTCGATATTAGGGTTTATAATAAGGACCTACAAAAAAGTAGGTTATGGTAGTTCAAGGTAGGCTTCAGGAGTTTAGGGTTTAGGGCTCAGATCCGACCTGCCATCCCGAGGCCCGGTGGAGCCAACTCTAAACTGCTGAAGTGAATTTTCTTGGGCTACATTGGCTGAAGCATTTTGAGAAATGTCTCTGCTACCTGGTGCCTGATTAGCGCGAGATACACAGAAACCGCAGCCTGCAAGAAGTGACATCGCTGAGCACGTCTGTCTTGAATGGTTTCTATCTCCTGAAGCCATGGAGAATGCATGCGAACGACCCAAAGCGCGTGAGGCTACTGCGCTGAGTAGGCCATGAGCCTGACAACCCCCGGAATCCGCTGAGGCCAGGCCCGGGCCAGCGCGAATCCGTGAAATCGGATTTCTACGCAATGCAGGAGAAGGTGCCTCATGGCATCTGCTGTTCCTGCTGCAAGGGAGTTTGATTTGAGGAGTCGAGACTGGCGTTGGGAAGGATCTGATGCTGCGAAATGCTAAGACAAGCTTTCGTTCATACCCGCACCTACCACTCATCCATTGGCCAAGCAGTCCGTGCTTGCAATAGCAGAACAAGGAGATGCGCATGGGATTAAAGGAATGGTTTCCGTGCCTCACCTGCTTTCGAGGAACCCACGCAACCTTGCAAGACTGCTTTCCTTCTGGCACACTGCATAGCGTAGGTGGACCGTTTCACTCTACGTAACCTTATTATCTTGTCGCTAGTCCTTGTCATGCAGGCATATGCTACTCTAAAGGTAATTTGGTCATCACGATGCTTGCAGGGATGTTTCTATGCTGCCTCGGTTCACACTGCAAGAATTCATCGGCGCTTGTACTGCCAGATTAGAAGGCATGAAGCTTGCATGCACCCAACCTCTTTGACTTTCGACCTTTAGTACGTTTCGTCGATGTTAGCTTCAGCTACATAGTCTTACTGAGCCAGGGTATGTCATGAACAGGTCCGGAAGTCCTTCATCTCAGCGTTCAAAGAGCCCCCACTGGTGCGGCTTGGTCCTACAGTGTTCCTTAACAACACACTGGGATTCCATACCACAGGATGCGACCCGATAATGGAGTGCTTGCTTCCGTTTTGCTCGAGAAGTACCAAGCACACCTCAAACATGTGGTATGTGGTATGTAAGTATAGACCTCGCTGCCCAGTGTTACGCTGCCCTTCCGCCAGTTCGTGTGCGGCAGAATTTCGCCAAATGAAACAGCATCTACATTCAGGTAAACGAGCTCACATGCTGACAAAGAAGGTGTCCTCCAATCCCACCTGAATCCGAAACAGGTTTCTAACCCGAGTCTTATGATTTCCAGCTGAACCTTTCGGGGTTGCAGTGTTGAGATCACGGTGTTGTGAAGAAGCTCCTCTTGCATAGCATATGTTTCAGAAGTCCAGGAGCAACTTATAAGCCTAAACCTTTACATTGCTGCTTACGTGCTCCCAGGGCCACAATGCTAAGTCAACGTTGTTTAGCCTGCGGCCCACCACAGTCGTTACTGTAAATAGCGGTGCCGAGCTAAATCAATACATGGGGTTTTATACGGACTTTGCGGATATTGCAAACATGGGGCTACAAAGGAACATTGTTCCTCAGCAATCAGCCCTCTGTAGTACAAGCCATCAATTAGTTCGAAGTTGGAGCCTTGCACCTTGTATGAGATGCAACAGCGTCAGGGTTTGCCTCAAGATGGTTCTTCGAGAGACTTTGAATGATCGTGGTGACCTGTGTAGGTCGGGTGGTTGCATGGTTCTTACTACGAGCACAGTGTCATTGCGAGCATGTGACGTCTGTTTGGTTTTGAGAGCATACGAGACACAGCAAGCATGCCGTACATACCTACGTAGTCGCCCTGTATGATATCTCTTTGCTACTCGATCTGAGTCCTAATCCAAGGCTTAAGCCTTTCGACCATATTGGTTGTGTTTACAGCCCAAGTTCTGAATCCTACACCCTAAGTTTGTCCCCCAACATGCTGTGACTTGAATCCCTGACTGACTCCCCAGGCCAGGAAGCCTTTGTGCATACAGGACACCGTTTGAGGTTTCAGGTTGGGTGGTTTGGGGCTTCGGGTGCAAGGGTCGGGTCGTTTCTTGGCCTTCGATTAAGTCAGGTTCTGGGTCGAAATTCGCTCGTTCGGAAGAGCGCTTCGGTTTTCGAGCTAAGGTGCTGGGCTTCAGGGTTGGGATCTCGCTGTTGGTCTTGCGCCTCCGATGTTGAAGTCTGGAGCGCCATACGCAGGTCTGGGTGGTCAACAGCAGGCCCTAGAAGTCCTTGCCATTCTGATGTTGAGGGACAGTAACCCACATTACGCAGATTAATTCTGCATAACTGGGCATCGGGGAAGTTCGATAGGAATTTCTGATTTGTTGCGGCTTGACAGGATTGTCAACTCCAAGACCTTTTCCGGCATGATCTCCAGTTTGCAGCTCGTCCTACTAGTCTTTCAGCCAGTATGCCCATTACTAACTAAGAGACAACTAAGAGTACTGCTTGCAAGGTTGTTGCAGTCATAGTCGCAATACTAGGACTGGCACCGGTACTAACACAGCAAGAATAGGAGTACTAGCAGTAGTTCTAGTAGCAGTCGTAAAGTAAAAGTAGTAGTAGCAGCAGTAACTGCAGTAGTAGTAGTAGTAGTAGTAGTAGTAGTAGCAGTAGCAGTAGTAGTAGTAGTAGTAGTAGTAGTCGTAGTAGTAGTAGTAGTAGTAGTAGTAGTTGTTGTTGTAGCAGCAGTAGTAGTAGTAGGCGCGGGCCGCACAAGGGTCCCACCCTTTAACAGCAATAGGAATGCATGTTGCTTGTTGCAAGTGTGGAAAGTGCTGGCCAGGCCGTAGGATTCCTCACTTGAACGGATTGCACGGTGGTGTTGCTGAAGGCTTTTGTCCGGGACCAGCTCCGGTCCCCGAAAGCATGGTTTGGGGGTTAAAACTGGCGTTCTGGACCACGCCGCGACCGCATTCTTTTCTTCGTTTGATGGAAACTGTGGAAGTGTGGGCGGAAAGTGTGTTGTTGGGGCTTGAACTGTTGTTTGGGAGCACGCAGCGACCGCACTTTGTCTTGAAACTCGACGGGGAAGAAACTGCTAAATCACAAGTGGTCGGATAGTACGAAAACGCTGTAAAGACCATGCAGAATGCAGGTGCTGCCAAGAAGGTTTAACACTCCGAAAATGCGACTTCTTATAAACATACAAAAAAATGCCAGCTGCACGTGGTGGGCTCGCCAACACCCCTAAAGCCCAAACCTCGGCCTTAGGAGAGGTTGCTTTTAAAGTTGTGTGTGGTGTGAGCGCGCTGCGGTGTGGAGATGTTGTTCGGGGTGTCCGCGAAACAGTGTCGTCATCATCCCCGAAACAAGCTTCCCCCCATCCAAGTTCGAGTTTTCGCAGAAAAATCCCGAAGGTACTGCAAATACAGAGTGGGAAGGCTTTTCTGGAGATTGTGCGGGGTGTCTGCGCAACAATGTCGTCATCATCGCCCCCCCTCCCCCGCCCCCCTCCCAACTCGATCCCATATGTGTCTGAACGCCTCCATCATCACCACCAGCATCATCATCACCATCAACGTCATCAGCATCCTCATCATCCTCACCATCACCATCATCATCCTCCTCAAACATGCTAAGAAGGTGGGTCCGGCAAGGGTCGCCGGCCTAGTAGTAGTAGTAGTAGTAGTAGTAGTAGTAGTAGTAGTACTAGTAGTACTAGTAGTTAGTAGATAGTAGTAGCAGTAGTAGTGGCAGCAGTGGTATGTGGTTGTGGCAGTGGTATGTGGTTGTGGCAGTGGTAGTGGCAGTCGTGGTCGTCGTAGTTGCTGTTCTTGTTGTTGTACCCGTAGTCTTTCGGCTATACAGCTTTCCGCTCGGACTTCCACACGCCCCTCATGCCCCGACATGTGAAAGGGGGACCTGTAACGTACATCTTGCTGCCAGTGCCATGGGCCTGGCCACATGCGTCGAAGGCAACTTCAGGCTGTAAGATCTGTAAGTGCTACACTTTGCAGATCTTGGCTTCTGGCGGCCATGGCTCCTTTGTATCCTCCCCCCAATCCCTCCTAAGACGGTCTGATGACCTGTCAGCCACATGGCCTCCAAAAATCGTGTGCATGATGCTCGCCATGCAAACTCATATATGCAGCAAGTAGAACCGCCCTGATTGATTAGGCCGGGGCGGAGCATATCTTGTGAAACGTTACCGAAGCCTGAGCTGCTGAACTCATCACGCAGGATTGCTGCAGGTTGCAGAGCATCTGCGAAGATGCTTTTCAGCCACTCTCAGCTTGTCAGGTGTATCGGCCCTTCAGAATCCTTCACGTTGATGGCTGCTTCAGGAGCTGATGTCACCGAACTGGATCAGTACGGTTCCGTCAGGCCCTGGGTCATAAAATGCGACTTTTCGCTCACCTCACTCATCCCTCAGACGGGCCGGCCTGGCACGATGCGAAGGGAGTGATCGACGGGACCGCGAAGTGGAAACCTCCATCCACTTCGGGGCGGGAGCATAGAAGCCTGGTTGATGTTGAAAGCAAAAACCTCGCGACATCGAGTCCATGACGTGTCACTAGAAGCCTTGCCGAGCATATCCGAGCACCGCACCATGTCACCACCCACTTCAGCCCCAATCCACCAACCATCACCTCAGCTGCTCAGCTCAGGTGATCTCGTAAGTAAGGCCGTGTCTGCCCAGTGGCAATCAGCACCGTCCTTGGCTGCAGAATGCTGCACACCCCTACTGCTTCAATGATCCTCCTAGCGAGACTTAGGCGGCCGAGTTTCTTTCTCGTCCCAGTAGTAGATGGCAACGCTCTCGCCTTTACAATTAAAACATCGGCTTCCAACCTCTGCCTCGCCTCTGCCCGGCCTTGCCCCAACGACTTGCGGAAGACCGGCCGGCCGTGGTTCCTCCCTTTTTCCTCCAGAACGCGGTTGCATCTGCTGCTTCAAAGGCGCGTCCACTTCTCCTCGTAGCTGCCCTCCAGGATACGTTTCACCAAGTTGGTCTGGGTCTGCTGCTCCTGCTGGATATGCCGAGAGATGTGCAATGTTCCATCCGGGCTTGTACTCCTTCTTCTCCTTTTTCTCCTTCTCCGCCTGCCTCCTTCTGTACATCTCCTGAATCGCATCAGCATGGTCCCCGCTGTGCTGCACGATGGAACCTGCATGATCTGCCTCCCAATCATCCAGCTCGGGTCCGGCGTCTACGGCATCCTGGATGCAGATAAGGTCGCAATCTAAACACTTCAAACGCATGGTGGGCAACGGACTTGCCGGCTTTCCCGTGCTCTGCTTCTATGTCGCGCGCGAGGTGAAACTCCAAGGGATGTTCAAAGCTCGCGGAGCCCACATGCATGAGACAGGTGAAACATGATGTTTTTCAGCACCTAAGACCTAGGCGGCGGAAGGTTCCTCCTCTATGTCCTCCTCAGGTGGCTCCAAGACTTTCTGGATCTCAGCGACAACCTGCACTCCAATCTCTCCGAACAATAGTGTGTTGGAGTAGAGCCGGGGTTCGCGCCTCCGGGTGTCCGTAGAGCTTGCCGAAGAGTAGGCAGTGCTTCATCTCTCTCAGATCCAAATTGGGCAGCTCAGCCAACAGGGTTTTCAGACAGCCCACATGGCCCCAACGGCTTGCCTCCGGGTCTTGTGATCACAGGAAATAAGACTGAAGCAAGAATCATCAAGCAGCACCCCACTTCCCAGGCCTTCTTCAAAGCACTCATGGAATTCTTGTCCTGGCAATTTGCATCCGCTCCCGCGTCCAGCAGAAGTCGAACCAGTTCCTGATGGCCCATCGCTGCTGCCATCATAAGCGGGGTCTCACCGTCCTCGTTGCAGGCATTAGCATCTGCCTTTTTCTCCAGGAGGGACCGGCACACGTTGGCGTGCCCCTTGATAGCGGCAAGCATGATGGCTTGGAAGCCCTGCGGATCCTTATCGCTGACTCCTTTGCCTCCTTTTGTAAACTTCTGCACGAGCTCCTCGTGACCCCCGTTCGATGCGAGCATAAGGACAGTCCAGTTGGAGCCATCGGGCATCTTGTAGTTCGGATTGGACCCGTTCTCCAGCATCTCCTCGGATTTTGCAAGTAAAGTGAGCAGAACTGGGAATCACAAAGGTGTATTCTCGAAATCTCGGCAGGTGACGTTGACCTCCTCCAGATCGCCTTTGTCTACGGCACCTCGGAAGGCCACGGCCTGCCACATTTTCGCTTCCTCCTGCGGCACATGCCACGTCTATGTCGAGAAAGCGAAGCCTTCGGGTGCGCTATGCCGAGCACTACTGGTAGTTTGTACGCAGAAAAGAGTCGAAAAGTGGAGGCTTTGGGCCGATGTTGGGGCATGTCGCATCAAGCACAATGGAAATCATGCTTGCAGTGACGTCATTCCAAATCGGTTTCGTCACGCTTCAACAACCAAGGCAAGCCGATGGCACAGCCGTGCGATCCAAACCTCCAGGAGAGCTCTCGAGCTCCCGAGCCATTTGGGATACCCGCTGCAATCAATGCTTGCTTTGGCAAGTGCTCGGCTCAAGCAAAGGTGCAAACAAACGCATGAAACTCACAAAAACTTGACCCTGAAACAATTGTTCAGCCATGGACGGTGCCTCGTCCACCGGCGCCATGTTGGCACCGATTAGGGCGCTGTGCTCAAGCCGCTTCAATAACTTGAGCCACCAGGGAATCTTTCTTCATGATTTTTCAGAAAATTCTTCATGCTTCCGTGATAGCAAGAGCTTTTGACGCAAGGCACATCAATGTACACTTCAGGCAGCGATGGGCACCAGGTGCCTGGAAGAGGTCCTCTAGATCAATGCCTGGAAGCCTGACCTTCTCAGCCATGCAGTGCTGGCGCTTCATCGAACTGCACACGGTTGCTCCTCGCTGACGTCTGGAGCACGCTGCCGAGCCCAACGACGCCTTCGGAAGAAGCTCCCAACACTGCATCGAAACACCTGCAAGGACGACGGCTTCCCACCAGTCAGGCGAGGACAGCTCCCTGTATGCCTCGGTGTCGGGTCAGCACACGTTCGCAGCAATTTGAGGTCTGGGCAGCGCACCCAAAGCAGCTTGCGAAATGAAGCAGCATCACCGGTCCCTGTGACAGACATGAACGGCGTTTAAAGCATACCAAAGAAGCATCCAATTCAATAACAGTATGCATTGCAGGGCCTGGGACGTCGGGATGAAGGACGGCGGCCAGCTTCCGGAAGGCGGGGCGAACCGAAGCCTCGATGCAACAACGCCTCTTGCACATCTTGCACGTCCTTTACGCCGCTGACACATGTCATTGAGAAAAAATTTCTTGGACATAGATTGAAACTCTTATAAAGCTTTCCCACCTGCTCCGAATCTCGCGACAATCGCAGGATGTCGAACGGATTCTCTTTCGTCTTCTCTGTGAGTCCAAGCAGCCTTTGCGCATGTCC